CAATTAAGCAAAGACTAATATTTCATTTCAAAGGCATTTGAATTTTATAATGGTTAAAAGCAATCTATAACATCATTCTCCAAAGGTAAGTAATACATTTCTCGTGATTTCATGGATGAATATAAAAGCATCTACTGTGATAAATATTTAACTCTTCCACTGCTTACAACTACATGTTATAAAGCAACAATCAAGCATCTGGAGATGTCCAAGCACAAGACAAGGCTAATTATTTCTTAAAACTAACTAGACACAGAAAAACTTAAAATTAAAACCTTGTTTTTGAATGTACTTTCATTTTTGGTCTTCCTTCTCTCCCAGGCCATGAATGTGAAATATAAATGACCAAGGGTGAAGAAAGGACAGCATCCACAAAAGAAGCAGGCGCTGACGGTGATGAATAAGGAGCTGCCAAAGGATGTCTGGCAGCAAAAAGAAGCAATAGCTTATGTAACTGATAAAAAATTATCAGTAAGATCCTAACAACGTATCTCCCTGGAATCTCTCAGGTAGTGTATTTGATGAATTGTTTAAGCCATACTTCATTCTTCTACCTGTTTAAACCATGGAGGCAAAAACACAGAAAAAAGTTCTACAGTTAACTTACGTTACTCAAATTGGTTGATGGAAAGGTTGGTTAGCTAAGGGAATATACTGATATAATAGGATTACCACACATACAGCCAATTGAAAATAAGACTATAATTATGTTTTTAATCAGCACTATATTGAATATCAGTTAACCTTTCCTTAAGGGTTCTGAAAGCATTTCTACATTTTAAAAGCCATGACAGTGACTGAATAATTCTATTAATGTAGAAAGTATGAGAAGCTAGACTGATTTTCTGTCTATCTTGTGACATAAGTGAAAGACTTACTGAATACAATTGCTTTTCCCTTAACATTTTGAATATATATTCCCATTCTTTCCTCACTCACATTGTTTCCAATGAGAGTTCCGCTGTTAGCCTGATGGGACATCCTTTGTATATAACTTTATGTTTCTCTCTTGCCAATCTTAGTATCTTGTCTTTGTCTGTGGTATTGGTCAATCAGGCTACAATGTGGCCTGGAGAAGATCTTCTGGGGTTGATTCTATTTGGGGGTCCTTTGTATTTCCTGGGACTGGATCTGTGAATGCTTCTCTAGGTTTGGAACATTTTCTTCCAGGATTTCATGTAATATATTATCAATGCCCTTATGAGTCTCTTCGCCTTCTGGGATACCAATTACCTGGATGTTTGGACATTTGACAGTATCTAGTATTTCTCATATATTATTCTCATTTTGGGGGACAATTTTCTCAGTCTTCGTGGTGAATTTTTCTAGGCCAGCAATTCTTTTATATCTGAGATTTGATTTTCTGTATGATCTAGTCTGCTTTTAATATTTTTGAGGGAGGTTTTGACTTCCTGTATTATAGCCTTCATCTCTAAAAGGTCCATTTGATTCTTTTTTACAGTGTGTATTTCCTCTTTCAGATCATGCAAGAATTTCCTCACCTCCTGGAATTCATCAGCTCCTTTCTCCTAACTCTTCTGCAGTTCATTGTCCCTCTTCTCTTTCATATCTGTCAGCTTTGTCACCATGAATATTCTAAATTCTTTATCTGACATTTCTGTGAGTTTCACTGTACCGTCTGAGTAGGAAGAGGAGTTATTCTTTTCCCTTGGAAAAGAGGTATTTTCTTACTTTCACATGTTTTTGTGACCCTGTGGTGATTTCTGGTCATCTGATGGATGGTGCGTTTCTTCCTAATTCTTGATGTTCAATGTGGGCATTCAGAGGCAAGTAGGAGGAGGTGATCTGCAATCTCCCTTCCGTCCCATTTTTTGCTCTTTGTCTATCAAATTCAGTGAGAACTGAGGAATATTCTGACCCTAATTGTATTCAGATGTTTGGATTCTGTTCGCTTGGACCTGTCTAGACACTCAGTGCATAGAGGCCACTAGAAATGAATCTGAAAAAAGGATCTCAGCAGAAATTCTTCATTTTTAGTCAAGGAAAGCAATATTTCACAGCGCAAGTTCAGTAGCCATCTCAGCAATACATTACAATGTGTTAAACAACAAGGCTACAGGTTAAAAAAAAAAAAGAAAAAGAAAAAAAAAAGGAGAAGAAGAAGAGCCAAATTGTGTGGTACCTTCAAAGTTTACTTTGTTGAAAACTAGGGTTCACCACTCATGACCTGAATATCAACTTCTCATCAGAGTTATTATAAAGGCTACCTTTAGAAGAAAGATGGCTCTGAACCATAGTGGATATCCACGTCACTACTCTGCAAGCTCTTCTGGGATTTGATTATTCTAGATACTAGGTGTGTTTAGTAGTGGACTATACAGTGTCTCTTCCCTACTGAAGATATAAACTTCTTCAAAGATTCTACTTTAGTTCTACAAAGATTCTACTCAGTCCTTTAAACGTTTTAAGCTCTTGAGTTTTATTTTCTTCTCCTTAATTCATTCTTAGATGACCTGATCTACTCTCATGATTTTAACTTTGATTTCTTTACACAGAATCATTCTCTAGTATTTTACTGATTGCTGAACACCTTCAGTTGTTGTCCCATAAATATACCAAACTCAAAGAATTCAAAATAAAACTCATCAACTCCTAAATTATTTTCTCCATTTACAGTCAGTGGACGAGCCCACCATGTGGCCTAGTGATTAAAGGATCTGGACCCCAAATGGTCAACTGCACAATTTGAGTCCCATCCTGGCAGCTTGAAAACTACACCAAGCACATAATATAGTCATGTCCCAAATCTTGGCAGGATAGAGAGAAGGAGGAGAAAAGATTGCAGCATGATCATGCTCCATTAGGGGATACTTTCTCCCTATATTTCTGTGTCTCACTCTCTCTGGCCAGTGTACATACCCACTAGCAAATTAAAACAAACAAACAACAACAACAAAACAATGACCATATTTTCTATCTCAGTGCAAAATATCACATCCACCCAGCCACCAAAGGGACAAAACTAGACGTGTCACCTTTGACCAAATTTTGCTTCCTTAATGATCCTGATTCCTGCTACTTTTTCTCTGGGTCTCAGTATCTCCCATTTAAATGGACATTTTTGAACCTTAGTTACATAGCTGGACTCCCATGTAGTCAACTGAGGTTAGAGTCCCAGACCCAGTGGCTTAGAACTCAAGCCAGGCACATGTGTGTGCATGCCCAAAATCCCAAGAGGAGACTGAAGAAGGGCCTATACTGTGGCCATCCCCACTAGGGGGATAATTGCTCACTTTCTGTTTCTCTGTCTCTCTGTCTCTCTCTCTCTCTTTCTCCAGCGAGTATATACACCATATAGCAAAAATATTACTAAAAAGATAAAAATAAAATTAAAAATTGGTATTTTCTAAATGGTCTCTCTACTGCTTGTTTCTTCCATTCCAACCTCTAAACATGAAGAAGAAGAATTTATCTGGGGCCAGCCTATGGCATGAAGGTTAAAGCAGTTGGCTCCTACATGGCTGATGGTGTGGTTCAAGTCTCAGACCAGGCGGCCTAAGAAAAACACTGGATATGTATGCCCAAAATACAAAAGGAGGGAGAAATGGAGGAGAAGGGATTGTGGCCTGATCATTTCTCATGGTAGGTGTTTTCTCACTTATCTTTCTTTCTGTCTTTGCCTTCCTCCTCCATTCCCTCTGTAGCAAGCGTACATAATTGCTGGCAAAAAAATAAAATAAAAAATAAATAAAAAAATAAAGAATTCATCTGAAATGAACACTTGATTATGTTATTCCCTTGCTTCAAACTGTTCAATGTCTCCTCCTTAGCTTTAGAATAAAGCCTGCAATTTTTTTTTTTTTTTTTTTGGAGAGGATTTTGCTATAGGGCGTGTGCACTCACCAGAAAGACAGAGAGAAGCCAGAGAGACAGAAACTGAGAAATCACTCCCTAGGGGGGATGGCCACACCACAATCCCTTCTCCTCCATTTTCCTCTTGGGATCTTGAGCACACACGCACACGCGCCCGGCGTGAGTTTAAGCCATTGGGTCCAGGATTCGAACTGTGGTCGACTACATGGGAGTCTAGCGACATAGCCATTACGCTAACTGCTGGTCCCTAAAGCCTGCATTTTTAACATGACTACACAGTCTTGATAATTTGGTCCTTACCCAACTTACCATTTTTACCTCATAACCCTCCTGCATGCAATTCCTTTATTAAAGTGTCTTTCACATGCTACCCTTTGTGGACTATGTCCTTTTGTTTCCACACTTTTGCTCATGTTGTTCCTTCTGTTTAGAATTCTCTGCTCTCTCCCTTTCCCTTCTCACCTTCTCCAATCTCAATTATTTATGTCTTGGGAAAACTTCTACCTCTCCCAGAAAATCTTTCCTAAAAGTTTTAGCTGAATGAGGTTGGGTAATTCTCCTGTTCTCTTATTCTGTGTATTGCTTTTACCTAGTACACTGTAAGTTCTTTAGTGAGCATGTATTATTTTTGTCATCTGAAAAATCAGTAAGGGCACATAAACAAGAATAAACATATGTCCTATCCAGAACTGTAATGTCTTAGAGAACACAAATTATGATTCATTTTTGTAATCCCACTTCCTGGCCCAATACCCAGCAACTAATAATGCACAGTAAATGTTCTGTTAAGTGAAAGTGGCAGACAAGAAAAAGAATACGTGTACACATACAAACACACACATGACAGAGAAAAAGACTTTTTTTACAGTATAGTGGTTTATAATAGTTCAGGTCCTGACATTTGGGCAGTAATATTGACATCTTTAATTCTAGAGGGTTCTAGTTAAAAATAATTCTAAACAAGTGATTTCCTTCTAGCCAGCAAAATTAATGGAGAAACTATCCTGTTCTTGATATCAGATCTCTTATCATTATAGGTACATTTTCAAAAAGATATGCACATGTAATCTCTATCAGTAAATGGGAAATAAGAAAAAACAAAACCAAGTAGAGGATAAAATAAACTTGGCAGCACTGTGCTATTTATCACATGCAAAAGTACTTACATGAAGAAGCAATACAGCAGCAAGAAAAGACTGTCCTTGACAATACCCAATGTCTTCATCGTACACAGAGTAGGCCTAGAGAATAGAAGAAGAGAAAAAAACATTGTGAACGTGCACAAATCTTAAGTGTTCACTCATATCAGACTTCTGCTTGTTTCTGTCCCTGGTTGTCCAACACAATTTCACTTGTCTTCAACTGGAATGAGTGTGCTATTTGCACAGTGGAATCCATGTAAGAGACTCTGCTTCCTAAAGCAGTTCTAGATGTCCCATTATCCCAGGTTTATCTTTAGAATTGGGAAATAAAGAGGTGCTCAGAACACCTACATTAATTTAAAAAGATCCATTATGGTTTCAGGTCAGGTTTTGAGACCATGGGAGGTAGGGGCAAAGGGAGAGGGAAGAGTAAGAAGGTTCTAAGGCTGATATGGGAGTTTGGATGTACTACAAGGGGAACATCTCAAAACTGCTGAAAGTGTGGTACAAGTCCATAATCTGATGACTAAAACCATTTACTCCCTAGAACCACTAGAAGTTTTTGAAGACCTTTTAAACTAACCTTCCATTTTTCAGAAAGGTAAAGAGTAAAAGTGGCTCCTACTATCTACACTGCTGGGGCAAATCAGAAACATTTAGTACTGCCCTGCCCTTTCTGCAGAATGGCTGAGATCCTCTTTCCATATAGACACCCTCTAATAACAGGTGCTGTAGCTATCCACATCTTTAACAAAATTCTGACTAGGCCACTGGAATACAGCTGAAGAGACTTAGTTACAGGAAATAAAAGATTCCTTGTGAAGTAATTATCATCATTCAACAGAATGTTCACCTCTCTGTCTTCAGAGGAAAGGAAATGAGGTTGTAAGCTTAACTGAATATACACTAATTACTAATTCAAACACCTGGGATGATAATCTTTTTTTTTTCCCCCCTTTTTTTGGAGAGTTTTTTTTTAGCTGTAGGGTGCGTGTGCTCACCAGAAAGACAGACAGAGAGACAGAAAGCGAGAAATCACCCCCTGGGAGGATGCCATGCCGCAATCCCTTCTCCTCCACAGGATGATAATCTTAAAAAAAGACACCTGTGCTAGTTTTTAGGCGGCTACAGTTACAGTATCAGTTATAGTAGGCAGCATGTACTGACTAAAGAGTAAAAATCAAGTTAAAGAGCTTTTTCTATTAAAGTCCAGGTAGTAAATATTTTAGGCTTTGGAAGACATTTATCATTACCAGTTGCTTTTTTTTTTTTTTAAATAAACTTCTTTAAATATAAAATATATTCTTAGATCAAGGGCAATACTGAAACAGGCTTCATGGGCCATAGTTCACTAACTCTTTATTTAGAACTGAGAAAAAAAAAAATCAGGTTCTGCCACATACGTAAGTACACATTTATTTATTATTTTAAATTTGCTAGAAGGTGCATGCCCTTGCAGGTGTGAGATAGAAGGATGGAGAGAAAGGGACACAGAGAGGGGGAGTTACCGGATGGCCATGCCACAATCCCTTCTCCTCCATTTGCCTCTTAGGATTTTGAGCACATGCACACATGTACAGCGTGTTTCTCATGCTACTGGGTCTGGGACTTAAACAGCACAGCCACTCATGTTGAATCCAGTGCTTTAACCACCATGTCACTTACTGGCTCCATCTCTTAGTTATACTTTGTACTAGCACATCTTTTATTGAATTTCCTCCTAAAACTTTTATATTTTTTATACCATCAGAAATGTGGAATTTTGGGAACAGCCAATGGTGTAATGGTTACATTGTTGGACTCCCACATGGTTGACTGCAGTTTGAGTCCCAGACCCAGTGGCCTATAACTCATGCCGGGCACATGTGTGCATACATGCGCACACGTGTCCAAAATCCCAAAAGGAGAATGGAGGAGAAGGGATTATGGTGTTGCCATCCCTGCTGGGGAGTGATTTCTCGCTTTCTGTTTCTCTGTCTCTCTCTGCCTCTCCAGTGAACGCATAGGCCCTATAGCAAAAATCTTTCTAAAAAAAAAAAAAAAGAAATGTAATATTTTCAACTTTTTGTTTCCAACAGTTTGTGGTTAGTACATAGAAATATAGCTTACTTTAATATATTGATCGTTATATCCTATGATTTATTAAATTCACATATTAGTGTTATTTGCCGCTTTTTTGGTGGGGGTGGTGGGAGATTTTTGCTATAGGGCACGAACGCTTGCAAGAAAGACAGAGACAGAAAGTGAGAAATCACCCCCCAGGGGGGATGACCATGCCACAATCCCTTCTCCTCCATCCTCCTCTTGGGATCTTGGGCACACATGCACACGTACTGGGTGTGAGTTTAAGCCGCCAGGTCCAGGACTTGAACCACAATCAACTACATGGGAGTTCAGTGACATAGCCATTTCACCAATTGCTGGTCCCCAGTGTTATTTCCTCTTAAAATATTCCTAAAATTTTCTATGTGCATGATCATGTTGTTCATGAACATTACAATTTTATTTCTTCTGATCTGTTTCACCTTTTCCCCCTTACTGAACTGACTCCACTACTGCACTGCACTGTTCTCCAAAACAATGGTGAATACAAATGGTGAAAGAGCTTCCTCTTCATTCTGATCTTCATTCTGATCTCTGATATGGTAATGACCATAATAATATTATAATGACTGTATCATTTCAATCTTTATTCTGAATCAATCTTGCATATTTGGGTCAAGATTTATTATCTTTTATACTGCTGGATTCAATATGCAACTTTTTTTGGGGGAATATTTCATAAAGAATTGGTCTATAACCTTTTCTTGCAATGTCTTCGGCACATTTTAGCAAAGGGTTATGTTGGTCTTATAAAACAAGTTTGCCAGTATTCCCATGCACTCTATTTCTGAAAGAATTTTCTATTAGATTGGTATTAATTCGTCTTTAAATGATAGAATTCACAAATGAAACTATCTGGGCATACAGTCTTCTCTGTGGAAATTAAATCTCTTTAATGGAAATAGAGTTATCCATATTTTCTTTTTCTTTTTGTATTAATTTATGTAATTTGTGTTTTTCAAGGAATTTGTCTAAGTTGCTGAATTTACTGAAATAAATTTCTTTACAATAGTCCTTTAACTTTTGAATATCCATACATGATTTATCCTCTTTCATTCATAAAATTCTTAATTGTCTTTTCTTTTTTCTTGATTAATCTTGCTAAGAGTTGACTAATTTTATTAATCTTTTCAAAGACTCAGCTTTTGATTGCATTTTTTTCTTTTATTAATGTGTTTTTTACTTGATTGATTTCTATTCTTATTCTTATTGATTCTTTCCTTCTTTTTATTTAGGGTTTAATTATTGGCTCTCATTTTCCAGTTTATTGAGATAGAAACTTAGACCATTTTTCTTAAATGTAGGCATTTAAAGTTATAAATTTCTGGGACCAGCAAGTTAGCGTAATGGCTAAGTCGCTGGATTCCCACATAGTCGACGGCAGTTCGCAACCCCGAACCCAGTGGCTTAAATTCACGCCGGGCATGTGTGCGTGCATGCCAAAGATCCCGAGAGGAGAAAGGAGGAGAAGGGATTGCGGCATGGCCATCCTCCCTGGGGGGTGATTTCTCGCCTTCTGTCTCTCTGTCTCTCTCTGTCATTCTGGCGAACACACGTGCCCTATAGCAAAAATCTCTCCAAAAAAAAAAAAGTAAAGTTATAAATTTCTCTCTAACTTCTTGGTAACTTTTACAAACACTGTGGAAGTACGATGCTAAATCTTGCCAACTGTCCCTAACGTAAACATGATAGCCAACGAAGTAGCACAGACCTGGCTTGCTCTCAACTCAGTGGATTTCTGAGACAAGCTGGGCAATTCTACTCCAAAAGTCATAGCCTCAGAGGAAAAAATCTGGGGTTTACTACAAAGGCAAGCGCTTAAACACAGGACCACTATGGTGGCAACCTTTGCACTACGGAAGTAAGTAGGAGAGCTAAATAGGCTTATACCAGCTCCCATCCTAGGTTTTTTTCTCTATATAAAATGAATTAGACAATTCATAAATTCCTCCAGTGAGTTGTAACAGAGTGTTTTGCCATGTTTATAATCAATAACAAGGGACCTTGATAAATTCATGGAAAATTGCAATTAAAGTACAAGATTATTTTGGTGCAAAATATTTTTGAAATTGGGGGAACCAGCAGTTAGCGTAATGGTTATGTCGCTGGACTCCCAGGTAGTTGACCACGGTTAGAGTCCTGGACCTGGTGGCTTAAACTCACGCCGGGTGCGTGTGCATGTGTGCCCAAGATCCTGAGAGGAGAATGGAGGAGAAGGCATTGCAGCATGGCCATCCCCCCTGGGGTGTGATTTCTCTCTTTCTGTCTCTCTGTCTCTCTGTCTCTCTCTGTCTTTCTGGCGAGCACACGTGCCCTATAGCAGAAGACCTCTCCGAAAAAAAAATTTTTTTTAAAATCCATTCATTTAATACATGTTTTCTATAATTTTTTTAATGACTTCTCATATGTCAGGACCAATTAATCCTTGAGTTATTAATGATCATTTATTATAAGTTCTAAAATCAAATGAATATATAGATTCTCTGAGTCTTATGCTGTAAGTAGAACGAATGTGGAAGCATTATAAACATTAATAGCTTGATGTTCTATCCAGTGTATTCAATTGTAACATAAACCATCTACAGATGGCTACTTTAGAAAATTATTTTCCCTGGGTCTAAGCCAACATTTAAAAAACAATTATTTATTTAATTTTATTTATTATTATTTATTTTGACCAGAGAAAGACAGAGAGAAAGGGAAAGTGAGAAAGTAAGCGGCCAGGTCCAGGCTTGTCAGCCATGTCAACTTCCAGCACCTTAACCACCATGCCACCAGTCAGCCCCACTACCAGAAATTTTTAAACTAAGTCACTCATTAAAATTATGGGAGGAAGTGGGAAAAAGGGAAGGAAAAAATTCTATCTTGTGTACACAAACAAAAGAAAAACAGATTACCACAGATTCCAACTTATGAAAACAGTCCAATGAACTAGAACATATAATGGTCAAAGCTAACAATATCCAAAGAACATGTTAGAATACTGCTTATCCGTG